TAATGTCACTGAAGTAGCAATCCAGTCCTACTCCAAGGGTTATGTTCTGGGAACATGGGTTTGAATTCAACTATGCAGCTGGTGAAATTTGAGTTAATTAAAAACCTGGATTAAAGAGATGGTGCAAAGTAACCACTATCAATTATTGTAAAAACCCAGCTGGGGTTTACTGATATCATTCAGGGAAGGAAATCTGCTATCTGGATCTGGCCTGGCCTACATGTGACTCCAGATTCACAGCAGTGCAGTTCACACTTAACTGTCCCCAGGCAGTTAGGGATGAGCTATAAATACTGACTTAGGCAGTGATATTTACATCTAATGGATGAATAAAAATAGAACATGGCAGAATGAAGAACAGGAGAAACAGTCCTGGGGCATGGAGGGGGTACTTCACCATGTAGAAGAAGTTATAGGATAAGCTTTTACCCAGGACATCAGCAGCTGCTAAGGAACAAAGGGGTAGAGTGAAGCTGCAAAGATCTCAGTTCAAAAACAGACATCTCATTCCTGATGTTTCTTCACAAACCAGAATTTCAGTGTCATAAGTTTGACCGACTTAAACCAGAAGCTGTAGCAGCATTGCTGATTGGATGGAGGAGGAGGAGAAAAATAAAGAATAGCCAATGTGAACAGAACCAGAGACAGGAGACTCAGGTTGGTGGGGGGCGGGGGTGAAGCTGAAGTGGTGGCTAAGCATGTACCAACTGAAGAAGGGATTTTCAGCTCCATTGAGCAGTGTAATGAGAAAGGATGTACCAAACGTATTTCAGCTGCCTGCGGATGTGTGAAAGGCAGTGGAGATGTTTCTGCATTAATAAGGGTACTGTCATTTACATCAGCCACCTTCTGCAGGTAGAACAGTACCTGCTCAGTTTGGGAGGCAGTTTGGAAGATCACACTGGCATATCACACATCGACTGGGGGCATGTGTGTCATCTCAGAATCTGCAGCCCACATTCAGACATATCCGAGAGCTTACGCGAGCCCGGTGCAGGAAAGCTGTACAGTTTGTCAAATTCAGCATGGACCCAGCAAGCCAAGGTGTCCAAGTTGTGAGATTTGCATTCATTGCTGGGCTCCTTCAGGTATAGGAGGCCATTGGGTGCCCAATGCAGTCAAAGTTCCTTGAACAGGAAGGGATTTCACTCTTCCAATGTCCAGCTCATTTCTGACCATTCAAACAAATTCCTGCAGGTGTGTGCCCACATTCCAGGGAGTGGTCGCAATGCTTACATTCTCCACAATTCCCATGTGCCATGAATATTCTGTTCCCAGTATCATCTCCAGGGTTGGCTTGTGGGTGACAAGGAACACCTGTAGAAAGTATGGCTAATGATCTGGGCGCCCACCCCTCAGAGTGACGACAATGCAGCACACCCACAAGAGCCAGCACTGAAGAGGCACTTCCATTGCCTGCACTGCTCAGGAGGAGCACTGTATGACGGGGTCCCCAGACTCGCGATTGCTTGCTGCACCCTGTGCCATCTAGTTCAATGATGGAGTGAGAACAGAGGGGAAGTTGGGGAGGAAGATGGACCAGCCGCCTGTCTCTTCAGACAAGCAAGCTGCAGTCTGATAGAGACATTAAGGGAATGAATGATGAGGAGGATTCTGAAGAAGCCAGCGCTGTACTGATGTGAGGCAGACAGGTCTGAGGAAACCAGATAATGGCTGGATAGGGGGTGGGGGGGTAATTGCAAGTGACTTTGCATTAACGTGTGTAGATGATCAGAACTCCAGCCAATTATGCAATATAGGTATTCCTGCCCACAAAGGCATGCTCGTTTTATACTTTTAAAACATTGAGAAACTCTGTTTGCCATTAATTGTAAATTATTTTATTCACTGGCACTGTTAACTTTCTGTTCCATTTCCTGGTCAGAGCATTAGGATGGAGTTCTGCAGATGTAAACAGGAACTGTGGGTATATGGCTCAAACCTCGGTTTGTAACAGGCTTTCACTGATTACAGAGACCACACAGTTCATGGAGGCAGCCATGCACTCACATCCTGGAGTCACAATACCAGACAGAACTTGGGCAGATTCCTCTGTCCACTTGCTACAGTCTGTGCATGATCTCTGTCAGCTCTGCCACACACTGGCCTGCATCTCCATCAGCTTACTGAAGGGTGAGTCCAGAGATTCATCATCTGTACTGAAGAGTGAACCCTGGCAGATGTCTGAAAGATAGTGCCACCACAGAATGAGTAATACAATACTGGTAGCCGCATGGAAGTGACAGACTTTGATTGCACATGAAGCATCCGATCTTGCATATGATTATCCTGTGCGGTGACTAAATTACAATGCTATGTCAGACTCATAGTGCCATAAAGCATTGAATAGCGAGTGCCATGCATCATTGAGCAACAACAGCAGATTATTCATGCTCAGCACCTCTGGGTGCTGTCCTCTGCTGTCACCTTGGTCCAGGCTGCATTCACCATTCAGGATAGCATCTTGGTGCCATCTGGAGGGAGAAGATCTTCAGTGCTCACCCTTCAGGGGAACATCCTCAGTGGTGCCACTTTTTACCTTGTCTCTGACATTTCCAGCAGTTGTTGAGGGGTATTGAGTAGAAGTTGAATGATATTTCTGGTTGCAGAGAATAAAGTGCCTTTTAAATAAACCTAACTGTCTAGTCTATACACCTTCAATGTGTTTCCTATTAATGCAAACCCATTTAAAAGATATCTGCACCTGGAGTGTTATAACCTGGACTGTGGGCTTGCAGGCTTTGGAAAGTGAGATTAGAATGGGCAGCTGATAATTTTTCCCCATGGGATGCACAGATACAACATGCCAAATGGTCTCCATCTGGGCCATCACTTTTCAAAATATAATGCCCAGAAATGCAACCTAGGAGGTATCGTAGGGGCCAAATCTTCCTGTGCATTATATCTGGCATTTTATCTGTGTCACCATATGAATTTAGCTGAGGAAAAGGAAATTGTGCAAGTTCCCCTCCAAATCACTCACTGTCCTGACTTGGGAATATATTGCTATCCTTCAGTGTCAATAGGTCAAAATCCCAGAATGCCCTGCTTAAGGGCATTGTGGGTCTACCTGCAGCAGTTCAAGGTGGCAGCTCACCACTACCTTCTCAAAGGCAATTAGGAACAGGCAATAAATGCTGGCCAGTCAGCAACACCCACATTCCATGAGTGAAAGAAGAAAAGTATCCCTAACCCTTCACCATAGAATGGAATCCAGAGGGGAAGCTGGTCATTCAGCCCATCAAGTACACACTGACCCTCCAAAGAGCATCCCACCCAGACACGTTCCATCCCTGGAATGCTTCATTTCCCATGGCTAATCCACCTAACCTGCACATTGTGGCCATGCTAAATTGCCTAATCTACCCAACCTGTACCAGTGTTGGGTGAAACTGGAGCACCTGGAAAAAAATCCACACAAACACAGGAAGAACATGCAAACTCCACATAGGCATTCAGCAGAGGGTGGGATTGAAGCTTGGTCCCTGGTGCTGTGAGGCAGTAATGCTCGTCATTAAGTCACCATGCCACCCACACATTTTGTCAGTTTGCCTCCACACTTTTTTTTTGAGACAAAATCCCACCCAATGATTCTAGCCCTCCTCAACCTGGAGAATGCAGAATGAAGATACATGGATTACCAATAATACAGAAGCCATTCTATTCTTTGTCTGGTAACCTACGTCCCTGCACTAAGATTTATTTGCTTGTCAGCATTGTATACTTCAGGGGAGCCAAGACAGTCTAGACTCACAGTCATGTCCCTTTCCAACGCTTCAACCCTACAAACTTGACAGTCTGTTCCCCCAACTCAGTGAGACAATGATTTACACCTATAACTTGTGTTTACAGAATAATCCTCTTGTTTATAATGAATTCTCAGAGTATTTTATTCTGGAGTTGGAAAAGGATATGATGGATGCCATACAGGGGCGAAAAACAGGAACAGTTGTGATTGCCAGGCAAAAAGCACAGAGAAGGGTTGGAGAGATTTCTGAAAGCAAGGAAGCAGGAAGCAAAGCAGGGATCTGATAAGAATTCCAGAACTAGGAGGGTGAAGGCTGAATGATCAGTCATCAGTGATGTAGTGAAGAAGGTGAAGGGTAAAGAGAAGCTCAGAGTGAGAACAGTAGTGAAATAGAGCAGGAGATGATCACGAAAATAGAATGGGTTTGAAGACATTTGGATTTTGAAATCGGTTCATCAGAATATGGTACAGCAAAGGAGCTTGGAATGTGGGACTTGGTGCATGTGGGAACATGAACTGTGGTACTAGGGATGAATTGCTTCATGTATAAGGTTAAGGCAGCAAATCAGTTGCGGGAAATTACAGAAATAAAGGCCGGAAGTCACAAAGGTAAAACTATTGTTTCAGCAACAAATTGGTGGCAAATGTGGGGAATACAGGGCATTTTGAAGGAGCAGTTTTGCGAAGACTTTGGATAGGGGAGAAGAGAGTTAAAAATATTGTAGTTCAGCAGAATTCCAAAAACGCACACCTATTCTGACTCAGTTTCTAATCAGATGATAATGAGGTAAAAGAGTGGGAAATATAGACAGAACTTCAGAGCAGGTGTTGACAGAACCTTAAGAAGATGGTCTCAAATTTGCTAACATTTAGCTGCAGGAAGTTTGGCTCACCCATGGTTTGAAAACAGACAGGCGATTTGAGGTGTGGCAACTATCTTTGAGGCAATGAAGTAAATAGCAAGGCATAGTTGGGTGTTGTCAATATACATGTACAAACTAACCAAGTGTGGACAGGCTGTGCAATGTGCATCCATACTCCCTGCTGCTGCTTTCTAGATCAAGTCAGAATTCTCACTGATGGTGCCAGCCAACTCTTTGAGATTGGGGCTGAGCACAAGGGTGGGGTTGAAATGCAATTCTTATCAGTGTACAGACATTGTGTTAAACAGGAGAAAATTTCCGAAGACTTTGCATGCGCAGGCATATACACGACACACATTACACCCACTTACTATCAATTTGCTTAAAGATGTTAGATTTTAACTAAATTAGTGGTGGTGCAGAGAGAGGTTGCAAAGATGTCTACGTGTTACTTGTGTCAGTTCTTTGTGCTACCTTTGCGTTTACTCATTGAAAACTGCCGAGCGGGATATTATGAGAAAACAAAACCTGAGCAACCCTAGCTTCGACAGTGTGTCACTGGGATGACTGAATCGTCAGGAAAAGAAGGTGCCAGTTTTTGTTGCAGTCTGAATGGAGTTATTTGAACTCTGTTGAAATTTAGTGAGCTGTTTGACAATGGCCTCAACACCACTGCAGAAAATGGAGAATGGGGGATTCCTACTGCTGTTTGCTGCCCTATGGCTCCCCTAGAAATTTTGTCTCATTTTTGTTGATGTAGTGTGAAGGTCACAATCACAATTGGCTGATTTTCCCCTCCTTTTATCCACAGTTGAATCATTTCCTGACCAATCTCTTTCTTGCCTAAAACAAGAAGATAGGAGAGCTCCTGCAATCTGTGTAGCATAAAGGAGCACTTTCAAATTAGGAGAAAAATCTGACAGAACATTGGAATCGTCAAAGGTTGACATGAAATTGAAATGGCCCGGAAGTTGCTGGAAGGAGGTATTGTGCAGCATGTCCGGGCAAACGTTTTCCCGAATCCTGTGGGATGCGAGAGCTGATAATGGCATAGCAATGGTATCTGTTTAAGTAAAATTCAGCATTTATAATAGCTCTGGCAATTATTTACAACTTAAGGGAATGAGACCACCATTTCAATTGTTCGCTTTCTGGGCAAGAGGTTTACTGGTAACTAAAAAGACAGTTTTGCTACAATTAAGATATTTAACTTTCTGTGCTGAGCTGAATGGTCACTAAATATGAAAATAAAGCAACTTCATGGAAGTCACAGGGATGTTAAGGGCAAAATGCTGTTTTTGTGAAGCTAATGGAAGCGTGGTACAAAACTGTATGATTCATAATACACAGGCTGTTGTTGCCTTACTGATCTGTACATGAAAGACAGTCTTTCAGTGTGTTCTCCCTGTAAGTATTGTGGTTCCCCCAATTAGTTCAACAAATTTAATGAGTATATAACTGAAACAGAAGAAGATCACTAATTCCTGGTTTATTCTGAGTTAGTCACCTGCAGAATGTACAGAAGGGTAACTAAACCCCAGGTACTCAGTTAAATCTTCAGGACAGAAGTGGAAGTATCTAAAATCTCTTGTATCAGGCCTCCAATCTGGCTGTCTATCAAGCTCCTTCCTATTTTTATTTTCCTGTGAATATTTGAATTAAATTTCCTCTGAATATCATTATCCTGCCCCTCCTAAACTTCAAACATTCAATTCTTTCTTCTCTGCATCTTCAAAGTAAGAAATCAGTGTTCACTACATAAGTTCTTGCCTAATTTATTGTTTACAGGACCTCAAAAAGTTGGAACTCCTTAACTCTTGCAGCCTTCACCTTCATATTCAAATCTACAGGTTTTTAAAAACCAAGCTTGGTTTTGTCTAACTATTATTTATTAATCTGTACAGACTTTGCCCCAATCTTTTTAGATTTACCATTGACATTTTGCATCAGGACCTTTGCCCTTCACCAACTCATTTAATAAAACACAGTTGCAGTGATGAAGACAGGCTTAACTCGTAGGTATTAACAGTATTTTATACCCATTTACAAATAGGAATATGTGTAAATAATTTGACAATATAATGGACAGAAGCCATAATCTGAGACAAAGCTATTTGTCACTTAGAAATATGGATTAGTAAATAGCAACTTGCACAAATTTGTTAAAGATGATATTTGGTTGATTAATTGATTAAGTCCTTTAATGAAGTAACCAAGAAGGTTTATGAAGGCAGTATGGCTGATATGGTGTCATGAGTGCTTTCAAACGGCTTTGATAAAGTACTACATATTCGTCTTGTCAGTAAAATTGAAGCCCTTGGGCTCAAAAGGAACAGTGGCTGCATGGTTACAAAACTGGCTAAGTGACAGAGAAGACAGTTGTAATGAATCATTGTTTTCAGACTGTAGGGAAGTACGTAATATTGCTTCCAAGGGATCAGTATTAGGACCACTGCTCTGTTTGATCTATGTTGATCACTCATCTTGGGTATTTACAGCATGATCACAAATGGTTGGAGATAACATCAGATTCATAGTCAATTAAAAAGTGAGGATAGAACAGGCTTCAGAAGGAAGTAGACTTGTGAAATTGGGCTGATATGTGAAAAATGCCATTAGAATAATACTAAATAATCCATCTTGGGAGGAGACTAAGGAGAGACAATTCAGTTTAAAGACTACCATGGCAAAGCAGGTGCATAAAAAAGGAGATCTGGGCGTTTATGTACACAAATTTTAGAATGTGTTAGGATAAGAAGAGAAGGCTATAAGGTCCATGTCTTTACAAACAGACAGAGATTTAATACAGAAGTAAGGAAGTTTGGCTGAATCATTATAATTCACTGGTTGGATTGTTCTGTCCAATTCTGTTCATTACACATTGGAGTGATACCAAAACTTTAACCTCTATTAGGCTGGTTAACAGGAATGTGGGGTTTCAGTTTTATGGAGAGACTAAGAAAACTAGAGCTGTTCTCTTGAGAGCTGAGAAGATCAAGGATATATTTAAATCAGGGTATTCAAGCTCTTGAAAAAAGCTCTCAGAATGAAAAAGCAGAAACAGTTTCCAACGGCAGAAGGTTTGGTATCTAGAAGAAGACAAAGTTAGTTAGCCAAAGACCACGAGGGTGATAAGAATTTCTCCATGCAGTGAGGTGTTATTATCTGGAATGCACTGCCTGAGGGGTAATGAAAAGACTTTCAATGCTAACTTCCTAAAGAGAATTGGGTGAATAGTTGAAATTGAATAATGTACAGGGTTATAGGAAAACATACATAAGAATAGCTATATGAACTAGGAGCAGAAGTAAGCCATTCAGCCCTCCAAATGCCCTTCACTATCAATGAGATCATGGTTGATATGTTCGTGTTCTGAATTCCAAAATTCCATCTACCTCCAATAACTATTCCCTTGCCTTAAAGATATTCAGAGGCAGAGTTCCAAAACTGCAGAACCCTTAGAAAAAAGAAATCCTCTTCGCCTGTCCCATAAGGGAAACACAACTTTTAAATAGTGGCCCTTAGTTCTGGACCATATCCACAAGAAAAAACATCCTTTCTATGTCCATCATTATGACTGTTCAGGCACTTCAATCAAATCACCACTCACTCTTCTAGACTCCAGCAGAAACAAGTCCAGTCTCTCCAGCTTTTCAGAATGAGACAATTCCTTCACTGAAGGGATCAATCTAGCAAATCCTCTCTAAACCACTTCCAAGGCATTTACATCCTTCCTTAAATAAGGAGACCAAAACTGCACAGTATTTGAAATGTGTTCTCACCAATGGCCTGTGTAACTGAAATATAACATCCTTACTTTAATGTTCAATTCCTCTTGTAATAAAGAATAGCATTCCAGTAGCCTTCCTAATTATTTGCTGTACTTGCACACTATCGTTTTGTGACTCATGCAATGGAACACCTAATTCCTCTGAATTCTTGCATTCCCCATTTAAATAATACATTGCACTTTTGCTTTTTCTGTCAGAATAAATGACTTCACATTTTCCTACATGTTTTCATCTACCAATCTTTGTCCACTCTCTCAATTTATCCACATCTGCCTGCAACTTTTAAGTGGCCATCACAACATACTTTCCCACCTACCTTAACCGTATTAAGTAGTCCAGGTTTAATTCTAGACTCGTACTGGACCAGCAGTATGAATATTACAAAAAGACTCAGTGTTCTAGGCAATCCACTGATTTATGCTGAAAGGTGTTAATTATATTAATTTGGTGGGTATTATCTGGGAACTTACGTCTGCTCATATGGATATAGGAGCAGACTGAAAAGAGGATATTGGATTAAGTGTGCATGATAAGCGACACATTTTTATAACAGTTTATAAGTTTGGGTATCTAAGTTCTAAGTTTATCTTGATGAGCCAAAGTTTCTGCCAAGTAAAAATTGAGATGACTGAGATTATCGTCTTCAGCCTGCCTTATTCCCACTGCTGCTGAAACCCTTACTGAAATAACTCCAGAGGCTGGTATCCTGTCACCAAGTCACCCTTTATTCACACATGAGCAGTTCTTGACGATAACACCGCCTCATAAAAAGTCAGGCACCAGAGTCTCAGCATCTCTGACGCTCACCCTTTTTATATGTCAGCCAGGGCTCCCTGATTGATCTGTTAATCTGGTCCAATCAGGGAACTCATTCTGTGACGTCCAGCTGGCTGGCCTCATTACAATCACTTCACTCACCTGGAAGTATGTATTTTTCAGATAACAGCTGCCCTCCCATTTTCCATACAGTAATGTTCACCCAAAATTCTGATGGTTGTACCTTAGCACATATCTTTCACCTAGTAATCCCATTTTTGCTAGCCTACAGTGGCTCCTCGTTCCCCAGAATCTTGATTTTAAAATTTTCATTTGGGTGTTCAAATCATAACATCTGTCCTCCCTACCTCTAATCTCCTCCTATTGTACAACTCTTTGAAAACCCTGCATTCTTCACATCTGGCCTCCAGTGCAAAGCCCTTTGCATTCTGGGATGCGTCTTCAGCATCATGACACTGAGCCTTGAAATTCCCTTCAGAAACCTCAGTGCATCTCTCAATCCTTCTTTAAGCCATTTCTGGAAACTTACCATTTGACCACGCCTTTATTCATCTACTTCTTCATCTTGGTGTCAATTCTATCTGATCATGCTCCTGTGAACCATCTCGAATATTTTAATGTGTTAAAAGATGCATGCAGGTTGTTGTTTATTTTGCTTTGATAATCTCTATGATCAGATAGACCATTAACACTGATGGTATAAGTTTAAAAGAACAGTATTATGAAACAAAGAACTGTGGATGTTGGAGATCTGAAACAAACGAAAACAGAAGAAATTTTCGCAGAAACTTGGCAGATTAGGTAACATCTGTGGTAGGAAAACTGAGTTAACCCTTCTTTAGAAGTTCTGAAAATGGATGTCTGGGCTCAAAATGTTAGTACTGTTCTCCACAAATGCTGCTGGACCTGCTGAGTTTTTCCAGCAATTTCTGTTTTTGTTTGTCTCAATAGAATAGTAGTAGGCTGATAGAATTACTTTGAGTGAGAAACTTTAGGAAAGGAGAGAATTTAGGGGAGCAAAGAAGGATAAAAATTAAACTACAAAACAAACCAGTTCAACACAGATGCTGTGGAGTGCAGTGGTTTAAAGGGGTTAGCTCACCACCACCTTCTCAAGGGCAACTGGTGATGGGCAATAAACGCCGGCCAGCCAGCGATGCCCACATCTCACAAAGGAGTGAAAAAAAATACAAAACAGGAGAGATAAAAGTACATATTTTGTAGTTCAATGTTTTAAAAAATAATGTAATTTTGAAGTTAATGAAGATTATCTTTTAGGTTCCATTGTCTGTAATCATTCGTTAGGCTGCATTATTTCTTTAGCAACAATCATGGCCATCATAGCAAATGCACTCATAGGAGTGACTCAAATCATCATATGTGCTATTTAAACTTTTTTACAATAATCTTTTAGCT